CATTCAGTAATTACGAATTTAATAAAAATAAAGAATAAAAATTAATTTCGTAATTAAAAATTATTTAATTAATCAGGGAGACCCCCAAGGCCCAAGGCCCATCTTTTGACCATTAAATATTCTCTTGATATTAGCCTATTTTGAGTCCAATTAGGCTAATCCAACACCACAACCCAAGCCCAATATGCTTAACCCATTACTTGACCCACTTAATTAAATGAGTGGGACAAGACATATAAGGTGGGAGAAGGTTTTCTCTTCCACCAATGTGGGATAAGTCCCACATTGTAAAGCAAAGTTCCAATAATGATTGTCCCCAAGATTTTAGTTTGTTCTTGTTCTCCAACTCATGTTTGGCAAATGCTTCTCCGTATTTCCTTTTTTGTTTTCTCAATTCAGACGGCTTCACGCCATAAAATATGGGCATCACAATTTGACCTCTTGTATCCTTGCATTTCATGATATGTACAAGTTTATCTAAGCACCATGAAGAATCTGCATAGTTTTCAGAGAACACTATGACCGCAACCTGTGATTCTTCGATAGCCTTAATAAGGGCTGGACTGATTGATGCACCGCGAGGAAGTTTTTCGTCGTCCTTGTAAGTATGGATTCCTTTTTGTTCGAGAGCTGAGTACAGATGGCCACAACATTATTGCGAATATCTTCTCCTCTAAAGCTGTTAAAAACATGGTGCTCCCATGACCGAGAAGAAAAGGCCGGAGTAGAAGGAGAATATAAAAACATGTATGTGGTTCGAGGACTTCAATGCAGTGAACTACATAGAGAGAGAGAGAGAGAGAGATGTGAGTTTCCAAGATATTTCCAATCAACCAAAAGCTCAAGAAATATCTTAACATTTTCAATACAAGAGGGTTGTTTACACATTGATGATGTCATCCTCATAATCAATGATTTTTGAAGGACCAAAAAATGTTATTTGACTTCTTATCCGTTGCTTTTTTATATTGTCTCGAAAATGTTTCTGTGAACAATCCATTTGTACAAAAAAATACATCTTACCGCACTGTTTATGTGTATGGGTAGAAGATTCCAATATTCTTGTACCTTGTGCATCGGTAGATTGTACCTCACAACAAAACGAGCCACGACGCCAATAAGTAAGACCGATATCCAAAATCAAAATCAAAATCGTAGCAACCTTATTGAAACAAAAATCTTAGCCCTAAATCCCTAAACCCAAATAGAAAACCAATTGTTTGTGTTTGTGGAACCCCAAAATGTGCGTTTTTTTTCTTTATGTAAGGATAAAGGGCGGTGGATCCTACCTCTAATATTGTTGCTTCTCGCCTCCCCATTGTTGCCTCGTACAGTGCCTTATGGGGGCAGCATCATCCTTTTTCTCTGGTGATGCTGCCTTCCTTCCCTCGGTGATCTGAAAAAAAATATATAACCTCAATTTGTAAGCATTTAAAATAAAATAAAATAAAAAATCACACTAGAACTAGGCGGTGAAGTCCTCATGTCATCTTCTCTTCCATCTTCTTTTCAGACTCCTCAACGCCCGTCGCCACCTCCCGATAATCACTGACTCACGTTGTGGCGTCGATTAAGTTTCTCGTCGCCGTCTGTTATCTGCGGTTGTTGGACGGAGAAAGTTAAAAAGGGAACAACATATTTGATGTCATTTTTTGATTGAATGAACTTTCTAAGAATAACAAATTTTTTTGATACAAGTTAAATTTTTGTCATCACATTCTTAAAAAATTAAAATCTTAATATACTATTCTATCATAATGAAACACTCACTAATAACAAAATAGACACAATTTGTAGATTATTCTAACTAAATATTCTACCAGAATATACATTCTAGTAGAATAAACTCTTGTTCTCCATGTATTCTTTTCCCACATCACTGTCAGTCTCTTCAAAACCTATATGCATAAAGAAAACATAATCAACTTTCAAATATTAAAAAATTCAGTGCATTCTAAGAGAATAAAAACTATAAATTCTGACAAAATGTAGTACAACCTATAAAATTCAGTGCATTCTAAGCGAATAAAAACTATAAATTCTAAGAGAATCCACTACTTTTTACCATAATTCATAAATACCATATAATTAAAATTGAATATAAAGCCTCTAAATTTTGAACTAATTCAACAATGAACAATCTTAATCTGCGACACTACAAATCCTTAACACTAAAAGAAAAAACAGGAAAAAAAAATAGTTAATACCTTTAACATATTGGACTCCATATTTTTAGTCGATCTTAGATCAAAAGCTTGAACAAGAATGTTGAACCCACAAAACCCAATCCACCTATAACAAAGAATGAATTCATTTTAACTCAAAATCAAGTGAAATTAAGGTGAAAGATTACAATCCAATAAGAACTTGGATATGTCACAATAAGGTGAATAATCGGTTGATGTATCTCGAACGGGAACAAACTTCAATTGGCAAGATATTTCAAACAAAAAGAAGGCGTTTAGAGTTTTCTTAACAGAAAAAAATGGGAAAAAAGAAATTTCACAATAACGGACTTCAATCGGTAGTTTACGGTTGTAAAATCGAAGAAGTGAAGACCGTCCATGGCGTCGATTTAGGGTTCTAACATTGTAGCGGCAAAGAAATCAACATCGTTTGGGTGGGCAGCGGTATTGTGGCTGCACACATTCTTTCGAGAAAAATAGAATGCAATTGAGGGATGATGGTGATGAAAAAATAATTATATATGTGAATCATTGGTTTCTGAAACAATGAAAATGCATCCGGTCTCCTTTGTTCAAGATAGGAATGGTGATGGATAGTTCCCATTTATTTATGTTTACGCGTTTTATTAGGGATACAACTATTATATATTTGTTATACCATAATTAATTTTTAGCAAAAAACCGGATATATCCTTTTGATTTAATTAATTACTTAATTATTTGCTAATTTGTGATTGATGCATTTAGGAACACAATACTTGTTAGAAACATTTGAACCTAGCTCTCTTTCTCTCTCTCTCTCTCTCTC